TGGGGGGGGGAGGGGGCAGAGGTGTTGGTTTGGGTAGTTTTGGCATGCTTAAAGTATGGCTTTGAAGAAAAGTACCTAGTAACAGTGAAGTTCCATTTTTAAACTCGGAGGTAGGTAAAAGCAAGAGTATTAAAGGAGTAACTTGCCTTTGTATTTCATTTGATCTTCTTTATTAAGTTGTAAATTGTTCAGATAGTTGCTACAAGTTATTGGCAGGAACATGTAGTGCCTAGAGGATTTGGGTGTATTTTACAGTGGAGTAAGACATACAAATCTAGATGCTTGTCTTTCTGCTTCGCCACCCTAATCTGGCAGTTGACATTATTGTTTTTATTAGTTCTTTTCAAATAATCCGTGATGTCTTAGCGATTTGTATAATGTGGGACATAATTTGTGTATTAAAGCATGTCCAAGACAATCTTCATTCATGATAATATATTCACTCATTAAGAATTGCTTCCAAAATCGTGTTCACTGTTGCTGTGTCATTGCTCCCATAATATGTTCAGAAAAACTTGCCAAATAAATTTTGTGAAACCTTTCTCAAAACTTTCTTGAAACAATATGCTGTTGGCATTAGGAATTTGTGTGTGTTTATTTAGGAGGGAGAATCAAAGATAAAACTGATTTCACTGGAGATAGCATGTTTTATGTAAAAAGCCAGACAGAGGTTAAAACTTGCCCTTGTTGAACTGTCACCTGCTTGAAAATAAGTTATAACTGAAATGCTGTTAAAAGAGCTGTTACATAGCAACCTGTGACACTTAAAAATAGGGTGACATTTTATGGCCTATTTACAGCAGATCCAGTTTACCTTGGAAGACTTTTTGGTAGTTAAATTAATTATGAAGGAAAGAATACTCCATGTTTGCCAAAAAAACCCTCTACTTTTCTGCCTCAGGGAAGACAGAAAATGTTGGTAATCCTCACTACTATTGTTCTGTGTTATGCATCTTCCCAGAAATGAACAATTCCAGCTGTGTCCATTGCAAGAAAAGCAGATGGGACTCCTCTCTTTTGTGGATTGGAAGGTGCATTACAGATAAATTTGTCAGCCATTTTCCAGAGACAGTATTGTAATCTTTTAAAAGATAAGAATCCTCCTTCAAATGATCTCTTTTCTACAGTTTCGGTTTTCTTTCATAGCTGTAGTTTGGATGTAGTTCCCAGGAAAGTTCTTTGGAGAGTTAAGAGTGAAAACCCTTTCATACCAGCTGACTCTTAATTTTTTACTGAAGTTGGTTTTACCTGCACTTCTACAGCTAAAAATAAAATCTAGTGGACAAAGATGTGTGCCACAAGCCACATCCTTCTCATTCCCTGATTCTTAAGTTCTGGGAGTGTTGCTCAGAAACATAACTGCCACTACTAGTGCTAAACTGTCCTGCAAAGAAAAAAGGAGTTACATGAGTGGGAAATGGAACATAATATATTGGGAAGTTTGTGACATCTGTGGATGAAAATGGTGTTAGTTTACTGTGCCTTTGAGTTCCTTTAAAGGAAGTAGACCAATGGAAACAGCTAAAAATTTAAGGACCTCTTAAGTTATCTCTTCATTGTGGTTAGTTTGATATTCCAAAAATGGTTAGGAAAGATCAAATAAAAACATCCCTAATAAATTTGTCATTCATATTCCTATTGTAACATTTTAATTTCTTCTGATATGTGAACAAGGCTAACTCTGATCTCAGCAGGAATGTGAGGGTTAAAAATGAAACATTGATTCAAATTAGTCTATGTTGAATCTAGGAAAGGATCTGTGAGGAGGAATGGATCTGTGAACCCCATTATGTATTGCTGTTCACATTCAGACATGCTATTGTATCTTTTCAGTTGAGTTTCTTGTTAACTAGTTGTTTGCCACACGTTTTTATTCTGTATCCTGGATAATCATTTTTCTTCACTTCTATATTACACTCTGGGTCATTTTTCCTTTCTTCTCTGGCATGTGTCCATTATCCATCATGCAGCTTTAGCAGGAGAGCTTATGACTTCTGGTAAATGTAGCAGAGGAGTCGGGGACAGGGTCTTGCATATAGTCTGCTCTGCTTCAGTGACTGGGAAGAGGAAGATCATAACAGGCTACCAAAATATGTTCAGTTATTTTGTATCAAAGGTAAATGGGTGACGGGTTTGGTGGTTGTGTTTTGGGGTGGTTTTTTTCCTGTTTTGAACACTGTTGCTGCAGTGATGGAGATGCAGAGTATTTTTCCTGTTCCTGCTGGATATTTTATTCCTCTTATTGCACATAAACCCTTCAAATAGAAAACCATAGTGAAGAGTGTAGTGGTTCTCCATGGGCTTGTCCAAAGAGCACTTGGAGGTACTGGTCTGTGTAGTCAGTCCAACTGAAGGATGATTTGCCTTTGAAGCCTGCATCTGTATTAGCACACTGCTTGCTTTCCTTTGTGCTGAGCTGTGGGAGTGACCAACACAGCGTTTTCCTGTAAGGTCTGTAGTAACACCAAACCCGCTGTGGTGGGGAGAAAAAGGTGTAAAGTGTGTGTATGTGTGGGAAGCTTTTTTTTGTCTGGTTATTACATTACAACTTCACAATGACCAAGTGTTGGAAGGAAGGTTGCAGGAGGAGTAAATAAAAATAGTGTGTGTGTTTTGTTTTGGGGTTTTTTTTAGCACTATTTACAGTGCCACAGTGCTCATTTGTGGCTTTAGTTGTTTAATTTTGTTCCTTGTGTGGATCCTTGCACTTTATAATGAGAAGAATTGATGACTCCTTTCACTTAGTGGCCAGCTACAAGCTGTGTTTAACTAAGTTATAAAAGAGAACGCTATTGCTGTCTTTTTACTTTATCAAGCTCTGTGACCTTTTAGAATCTTCATGTATTTCAACCATGCCCAAGTCTCGGTTAAGCAGGTGGAGGTGGGGCATTGTATAGTCTGTGTTGTGGTCCCGTTCCACAGGTCTTTAGACCTGTCTTTGACATTATGTAGCTTTAGTCCAGCGTGGGCAGAAAATAATTTTCATTGAGGATTTCTGCAAGGCATGTTATGCGAGTCCTCATATTTCAGCATTTTGTCACCCTTCAGGTAAAAAGGAAAACCTGGAAAACTATTCCATAGACTCCAATTGTTGGGGATGCATTTTCTATTAGGAAAAGCAATAAAGCCACAAACAGAAGCTTGTATCTACATGGGACATCATTGTAGTTCTTTTTAACTATATAAGAATGTGTCCATAAATCTAATATTGATAAGAGCTACATAGATTGCTTTATGTATTTATGCTTTTATTTATTTGCTAACAAATGTCATCTATTTCAGTAGGCATAAGAAAATAAAAAGAAAGGAATATCCCTCCCCTCTGCTTTTTAATTATGATTTTAACTGGAGCTTTCAAGCATTTATAAAAAGCATGTCACAGTTTTACTTTATGTTGAAGTTTTATGTGGCAACTAGTGTATCTTGCTGCACTCAGTAGATGTGTCTCTGCATGTTTTTTTTCTTAAATTGTGGATGTTTTCAAGTTAAGACAACTGTATTACTGTAACTGTTGCTGTAGGGACATGCAATACCTCCCTATCTCTCTTCAGAAAAGTAATTAGTTTTTCCAGGCCCTCGACTGCCTTTGAATCTAATATGCTACACATTACTGGTCCGTATGAGAAGTAATGCCTATTTTTAGAAGCAATGTGTTTTCAAGGTTCTAGACCTCTTACGTGATGATGCTTGAAATACACGAGAGGAAACCAAAAAAAAAAAAAAAAAGTAAAAAACAATGGCAGTAATAACATGCTTTATAGTACCATTATCTGGGCAGTAAGCATCAATTTTAGAGTATATAAGCTGTGTGTATACAAAACTTTTTCTTCTACGCATTTCAGCCTTCCAGAACAGGACCTGTGTTGGCTGGGGTAGTATGTCTCTAAGGACCTGTCATTTGCTTGCCTGGAAGTTGAGTCAAATGTGTAATTACTAGGAGTTGAGAGGATTCTGAGCCCTTTCTCCTCTTGTTAGCTTCATTTGCTGTGATCCAATTTCTATGGCATGTGTTTTGCAGTAACTCCAGCCCACCTCTCTGCCTCTGGTTTTCCTTGTTTGGGTTATATTCAGCATTGTCTGCCAGCTTCTTACTTCACATGATTGGACATTTCTGCACACCTAGACCGGACAATTTCCTGTTTAAATTGTAGTTGTGGCTAGCCCTGCTTTACTGCATGCCATCATAAAATATATAATGTTTGTCTGTTTCCCGTATTAAGTATCATCTTCATGATGCTTTCTCACTGCCACAGACGTCTTTGTCAAAGCTGTGTAGGAGGAAGGTGAGCAAATTTGATAGGCAGAATATGTGCTTACTTGTCAGTTAGCCTTTCCCCTTTGTAAGGTTAACTGCACTAAATTGAGTGTGTTAGTTTATGTAATAATTCACTATCGTACAAAAGGAAATGGGAAGTCTCTATGGAACACAATTTAGGATGAAAAACTAGAGTTCTTATGAAAGTTATCTGTAAAATTTAAATAGTCAAATCATTTTTTCATCTCTAGGAATTAATATCAGGTGTTGCAAATACAGTTTATCTCAGGTATTAACAGTAGTTCTGGGAATTCTGGCAGGAGAAAATGGTGTAGGTTTAACTCCAGGAGAGAACCTAAAATTCTGAATTAATTTGGAATTGGGTATTTTATGAAGGAGCAGGGACTTTATTGAATTGAACTGTGTTAGTCCTTCAGATATAAATTCAGATAGCCCACCTCAGTAATGGCTCATAATCCATCCTTCAGTAATGAAGCTTTTGTTGCTTACAAAATGTTTTCTGAACAGTTTACTAAGGTGATTAGACTAATGTTTGGTCCTATTTATGACAGAATATGATGTATGTTTTATTTTTTAATGCCTTGTAACTTGGTCTTCTTGTGGGATAGATGTCTTATGCTTGTTTTAAAGTCTTGATGGTGAAGTTGTAGCCTGCAAATATCTTGTGTTCTTCTAGTGCAGACTTTACTAGCAATAATTAATCTGTTTCTTTTCTTTTCCCAGCATCTTTGAGGATGAAAGCATGAAACTACGACAACTGAAACTAGAGAATCAGGTAAATGATAGTGCTGAAGCTGGTAGAAATAAGTATAGGAAAATAGATATTAGCCTTGACTTGAGAAATAGGGGTGAAGTGTTAAGAATACAAACAAGAACTCATTGCTATGACAAGAACATTTTTCTTTAAAGATTTTAATGGCTTTCATTAGTTTAAGTCAACCTTGCTATGGCCTGTAGGCTTGATGTCTTTGATCTATTTGTTTTTCATACATCTCATTTAATTTGTATTGACTCACCACAATGCAGGAATGAATCAAGAAGAAGGTTGTAGAGAATTACCCATTTTAAGCATTAAAGGAAAAGAAAAAGTTTCTGCAAGCTATAGAAAGATCTTAACACTGCTCTTGAGAAGGATTTCCAGCATATGGTGATTTGTTTTGCTTTTTTTCCTACAAAGAAAACATTTGCAGCCAAGCATTTGTCAGATATTAGGTTATGGGTCTCAGCTTTTAACAATGCATGACATCAAATTCCATCTGTGGGCCAGCTGTGCCGCCCAGGACGCTTTTAACCGGACTACTGCCTTTTCCGTGAAGAGAGAGCGTGTGGCTGCTTGGGCAGTGCTTGCGAACGCAGCACTAGAGGCGTTTCCGTGTCTTTTGAGGCATTTGCAGCTCAAAGTGTAATGCTGCCACCTCCCTGTGGGTGCAGAGCGGGAAGTTGAAGGCCTCTTTCTGAATGCAGTTGGTATAGTGCTTTTGATGCAAAGTTTCGTTAATGCCATCATAACTAGTATTGTTCCTGCTGCCTCAGCAGTTGTTTCTATTCTTGTTTATTAGGAAAACATAAACATCAAATATATGTGTATCTTGGAAAATTTTGCGAGGTAGATGAATTTTCCTTTTACCAGATCAGTCCTGTTTTAATGACTGTAATTTTTTACATTTGTTTTCCCCCCATGCCCTGCCTCCTCTAAGTCTTATCTCTCAATATTGGTTTCTGTGAACTATTTGAGTTCTCCCTTTAAGATGATAGCTTCTGACACAAAAGCCTTTTCTTTTGCAAGTCCTAACTGTTTCAGATTGGTTTATAAATGACTGCTGAATTTGTCTATATATATATATGAAGGATTGCTTCAGTTTAGACTGGATGAAAGGAGTTACTGCTGATGGTCTCAGGACACATCAGAAAACAAGCAGATGTCCACATCACCCATCAACCACGGATGGAGAATCAAAGACGCTCCAAAGACAAAATGATATCTCTGTCTAGGATTTTTGTAAGAGATTACAGGAGTATTTTGGGTGTATTGGAGATCCTGATCAGTGATGTGTTATCGCCAATAGCCGAGGCATGGTTTCTATCTCTGAACGTGGTCCTTATGTCATGATTTTTCTTTATTTCACAGAGAGCTCTTTTAGAGAAGAAGCAGAGGAAGAAACGTCTTGATCCTTTGATGGTACAGCCAAATCCTGAGGCAAAGCTGCATAGGCCAAAGCCCAAAGGGTGTGAGGAGCAGACTCCTTTAGTAAAAACTCCTACCCCTATCAACAGTGATGTTATTTTACATGGTAAGTAATCAACCTGGTTGCAACAATGTTCCCAAAAATGCCAGTGCATGCATTTTATGTCGCAGATGGGCACCACATTAATGTGACAGTGGTCGAGTGATAAACAAGATTGATTACATACCTTTATATGTACAGAAGTGGAATTGTAGTACAGTGTGGTTGAGCAATAAACCAAAAACCTTACCTTGAATTTTGTGACAGCTGAGAATCTTTGTGTGCCTTTGAAGAATCTCTCCCTTGTATTAGACTAAGAAGAATTGTAGAAATAAGTCAGGAATTTCTATAAAGGTAGGGAGATACAAACCCAGTGTAAGAGAGTCTTATAAAGCTGTAGGACAAAGAAAAGGAAATAATCCGGTAGTGACTGCCTTCATGTACTTTTCTTCATGGTGTACCCCATCTAAAGATTGCATATGACTAAAGGATAAAGTAGACGAGCAAAACAAAAGTCTTATGAATACTGAATTAGATTTTTTCTGAGTTTTATCTTATCTGTTGTTTTCTGTGGGCTTTGGGGAAACAACTGAAACATGATAAGCAAGCTACAGTGGTCCAGAAAGTCACAGACACAAAGTGACTTCAGAGCCAAAGGCAGTAACTTAGTCATCTCAAAACATTACAGTAAAATGGTAACCATTCTGTTAGGAATGAAAAGAAATATAGTAGTGAGAGCCTTAAGTTTTCCATGCCACAGGGAAGAAAAAAAGAGCAGCAATGAAACCTCTACATTCTAGTAGAAGTGTAGTTTGAGAGCATGGATCCAATCAGACTACCAAGAAAGTAACGGGAAGGCTTAGAGATGCATGTTACTGCAGGATGTTAAAATACCACAATTTTATTAAAAGGAAATTGATGTATAGAGTAGAATTTTAAAAACCCAAACAAACCAGTGTTAACTCGTTCAAAGATCACATTTGGAAATATGTTATCCCCTCCCTTTTGAATGATTTTCATGTTCTGTTCTCCAGGTGTCTTTCAGGGTCATAGGATGGGGAGGAAAGTGGTGATGTGGATGGTAGCATTTATGTGATTTAAAATCAGGTGGGAGAAAGCTTCTGTTAAAGGACACTTCAAGTCAAAAAGATTAATATAACTTCTAAGTTAGGAAACATCAGTGGTACTGGAACTACAAGAAAGAAAAAAAACCTAACTGCTCCTTCACTAGCTTCCATAGTTCCGAAGCTTTGTCAGTATAAACAAATTCTGTTAGGAAGTGATAACAAGAGTAAACATGCCAGAAATCCAATGATTAGATACAGCAGTAAAGTTTTACGAAGGAAAACAGTGGGAAAGCAAGAAATCCAAAGCTGGGACTACGCTTACATATTCTGTGCTACACAAATATATTAATGCCAGACCCTGACATCAGAATGTCTCCACCAGTTATGAAGGAGAGTGCACAGCTGTATTGCATGCTTAAATGTGGAAATTTGGTTTCTACCAAAAGAGGGCATCCATTTATAGTTTTTTCTGCCTGTGCCTGTAGATAATTTTATCAAATTGACTTGAGACATTCACTGTAGAGTGCTCACTTATTGGTAAGTGAGCATTCTGGACGATTTGAACATGAAGGAAAAGAAAATAGAGTAGCTGCCCATCAATTTGAAAGATATCAATGTGCTTGACAAATACAACTCATTTTAACTGCTTAAGCCCTTGCAAAAAAGTAGATACAATGACTGTATTTATAAGTAGAGAAGCTGATGCTTGGTATGTTTAAAGTAATAGGCTGTCTATACCAGAGTCAGGCCTGGATCCTCCCAGGTTTTCTGACAAAAATCGAACAAGAAGACATCAGTACTTTAAAGGGATGCTTGAGCAAGGAAGATGTAAAGAACAACCATCCTGGGATGTGTCTTTAGCCATAAAAAATAGTCTTTAGCATTCTGTTTTGTTTGGCCTGCAGGTATTGATGGACCAGCTGCTTTCCTGAAATCAGAAGTGCAAGATTTGGGGACCAAGCTCCAAACGTTCTCTGCTGGATCTTCTAAAACAGAAGACAATGCGGATCAGGAAAATGATAGAGAGGCCCTAACAGACACAGCAGGCAAGCCAGATCTGCAAGAAATCTTACAGAAACGAGGTAATATAATGGGCATTATCTTGACATTAAGAATTGATGGGCATTAAGAGTTGATAATGGGCAAAGACATTTTTCAGGGCTCTTATTTTTTTCAGTAGTGTTAAAAGCCCTAAAAATTTGATGAGTCAGTGTCTGTAAGATATTACTTTTAAATGCAGAGCTAGGAGATTCCACAGCATGTAAAAATGCAGAACTACGGTTCCTTCTTCTGATATTAATTGGAACATACCAATTAAGTTTTAAAAGTTTATCAATGTGCTGTATTATTTCTGGCCTTTCCAAGGAAGTTGGTGACAAAATGCTATACTTCACATTTTGCTAGTTTGGGGTATTTTTATTTCAGATATATTATATCTGGATATGCTGCTTGAATATTTTCACAACAGCAGAACCCTCTATACCCAGTAATGCCGTAATGTAACTGTTAAGAAGGCTAACAGGAAAGGTGCTTTTCCTGAGTCAGAGGCTGTCACAATCAACAGTTTGAGAGTTTTGTATTCAATAGTTATATCCCATTGAGTAGTTTCCTAGTAGAGTACCCATGTCTGTCTGCCAGTACCGCAGGAAACCTCTTTTGTTGAATGCAGCCTAAGCACTTTGCAGCAAAATAACGGCTAGTGTTTAATATAGTGCACAGCTTGGTTTTATTTTGTTGAGCATGTCTCCCAGAATGTTTCCAGTACAGTTTATGTATCAAGGTACTACCATATCTAGAAATACATCCATTTAAGTGTCAGATGCAACAGCTGCTTACCTATGGATAGGAACATTACACAAGAGTTGGGAAAGGAAGTAGGAGAGAATATCCAGAAACTTCAGGGGAAATTAGTAGAGATAGAATATAAACAGTAAATTTTGAAATTGGCTGGAGTACTGGGGTTAACGCCTTTCCTCTTTCCAAATGTGCTGTGTGAAGCTTACTGACAAGTTGTTAAGACTACATTTTTCTGTTTCATCTGAGATAGAGAACTTCCAGGAGTGCCATGTTGGAGTACTGTTATTTTCAGAAAATAATTCAGAGTGTTAATTTTCTATAGTGCTTTATGTGCTTTCCATTCTACAGCCCAATTAAAGAATGGAATCTCGGAATAAAATTACACAGTTCCAGGTAAACACCAAGCAGTGCTGTGTACTTCCATACACATAAACATTCTTTAAAATGTTTTTATCCAGAGTTATTTTAGTTATATACCTACAGCCATCTCTACATAACTGTGCCTACATTAAGATACAATAAATAAGTCCTGGAACTACTCAGACTGCACTTCTGTTTAAAAAAGAATTCATGAGACCTGGGTTATTGCTACTGATGTAAGAATAGGAGGAGCTCTTACTGAAAAATTATCCTACTCCATTTCAGTGTGTATAAGACTAAGGGGAAATGGTGAAGAACGTAAGCTGCACAGAGTCAAATTTACAGGGGAGGTGTCAGCATATTGATCTGGAGTTCCTTTTTTGTTCTTTAAGACATGAAGGGCTTTTTTATGTGAAAATCGGCAAAATTAACTCAATGACATATATTAAGCAGTATGTTACATCATTTAATATCGTTTAAATAAGTATTAATAAAGGCCTGACAGCCGTTTAATCATCTGCAAAATGACAGCTGCAAAATGTCACTAGGGTTTTGAATTAAAAGGCTTCGGAAGCTGTATGGCTCAAGAGGAAAATCAGGAGTTGATTTTAATTACATCAACTGAAATTAATTAAAAGAGTGAATAGCTATGCAAATGTCATATATGAATTAGTGATGCCACAAACTCATGACATCTCCTTTCAGAGGTTACTTGCTTGATTTTGACAGGAATTTCAGGCAGTTTGAATTTTGATGAGGAAGATGCAGAAGAGGAAGAAGCTAGTAAGAGACCAGCTTCTCATTCACCATATCCTGAAACTGAGAGGCCTAGCTCTGCAACCAGTGTGAAATCTTTCACAGTAAGTGTCTTGAAATCCCTTTCTGATAAGGGCTGGGCACATGCTTGTTTTTAGTACTAACCCCTTGAGCAGTGGGTTAAAATATAGTAGTTGCAACTACAGTAGCCAGCATATTAATCCCTGAAGGCAGAGGAAGGTCATGATTGTCAGGTTATCTTACTGAAGAGCCATTGAGCTAAACACAAAGACCTAGTAATGATTAAAGGAACAATGGTGGGCACAGGAACCCCAGTAGCCTTATCAGTGAAGATGGGAACACAGTGAGTCAGCTACTCCTCTGATTCTCAAAGGAGACAGACTAAGCCATTGTCTGTGGTGTAAAAGCCACCAAGATGACTCAGAGAAACTCTGAAATGACATGCAAAATTGAGAAGGATTACTGCCTGAAGGTTTATAGCGTTTATTGTGGAATGTAAGAGGGAACAGAATTTTGGGATGGAACAGAAAATTTAGGGATGTTTAGGGGAGGGGAAGAGGAAAAAGAAAGGGGTTAAGGTGGATCAGGAAGCCATAAGCATGGGAAAATGGGGACTAAAGGGAGTAAAAGGCACTAGATGCATGTGAACAGCTGCAAGACAGTATGCTTGTCTGTCCAAGCCTTGTGCCTGATTACTGCAGCATGTCCTTTCATGTTCTAAAACTCTGTTTCCTGTATGAATGTGTTCTCGTGTGTGTGTGTGAGAGATACATACATACATATGCTGACAAGCTATATGCTGGACTAGCCAGTGAGTTGGAAGAGACTGGGAAGAACCAAGGTTTGAGCTGGTGATGAGATGGAGGGCACAGGGTTTGGGCTTGGATGCTGGACAGGCTTAAAAGTCCATGCTACTATTCAAAAGACCTGTGAGTATAATTGTGTGGCGAAGTAGAATGGAGAAATTCTGAAGATTATAATATAGATTAAATATTAATATTTAGTGTGATAGAGCTTAAAGTATTATTTAACTAAGGATAAACACTTCATAGAATCATAGATTAGTTAGGGTTGGAAAGGACCTTAAGATCATCTTGTTCCACCCCCCCTGCCATGAGCAGGGACACCACACACTAAACTATGTCGCCCAAGGCTCTGTCCAGCCTGGCCTTGAACACCTTCTGTGCAAAATACGTGTTAGCAATTTGAAAACTTGTTGTGTGGGTAGGAGATCTTAATTGTTCAAAAGTGTTAGATGTATGTCTTCCAAATCTTTCGGATTTCAGTAACTGATGCCTTTAGGCTGCTCTCAAAATGCTAGCCAAGTTCTTCATAGCGCATAACTTTTCTGACTGCTGTATTTAATGCAGTAACTTATCCCTTGTGTGGCATAAACAGCTTTTTCATCTTAACAGTAAGAGAGTTTCTTACATAATGCTAATAGTGAAATATGTGCTTGTATCCACTTCTGTTCCTGATCCAGTGCATTGGTTACATATTTAAGATGAACTTCTAAGAATAAAATAAAAATAATAATGTGCTATTCAGTTTATAAAGTTAAGCAAGATTCAATGTTGCAAGAATTGCGAAATGGCAATAAAATCTGATCAAGTGTCTAAGTAGTTGCTTTGGAGTACTTGAAGCTTGGCCTTTTCTTCTATTTGGCTTGGAACTATCTTCTAGGATGTCCTCAAAGTATACTTGTCTTAAATATATGTAAACTCATGTTGTATCCCTATTACTGTTACTTGTTTGTGAAGTTAATTTTTGGTAGTAAATACATGCTAAGACTCTGATTCCTCTGGAAAAAATACTGTATGCATATAAAAATTACTTAGGTATTTTCAGCTAATATGCAAAAGCTTTGTTGTCAAAGTTCTGTACTCCAGAAAAGAATGGACCTTCTTATAGAATCTTAGGCTGGTCAAGTTATTTCTGGCTTTCAGTAGGTCTAGGTCTATTTCATATCCAAATACAAAGGTAGATGGTGCTGGAGGGTGAAAAATGTATTTGTAATGGTCTCTCAGGGACGTGTAAGGAGAAATTAATATTAAATTAAAATGTGAATTATAAACATAGACAAAAAGTATTTTTAACTGTTCATCTGAATTGGTCAGACTTTATTTTGCTTTCATGTAAGATTGAATAAATGGAATATGAAGTCATAAAATATCAGTTATATCCTGAAATAATGAGTTGAGTAGTCTAGGGGAAATGGTTTTAAACTGGAAGAGGATAGATTTAGATTAGACTTGAGGGAGAAATTCTTTCCAATGAAGGTGGTGAGACACTGGCACAGGTTGCCCAGAGAAGCTGTGGCTGCCCCATCCCTGGCAGTGTTCAAGGCCATGTTGGATAGGGCTTGGAACAACCTGGTCTAGTGGAAGGTGCCCCTGCCCATGGCAGGGGAGTTGGAACTGGATGATCTTTAAGATCCCTTCCAACCCAAACCATTCTGTGATTCTGTGATTGTGTGTATGTTATACTATGTGAGTGGGTGAGTAGTACAAGAGGTCTGGGTGTTGGCTACCTGGGAGACTGGACTGTGACTGCCAACTACTGGAGATACCAGGTAGGGGATGCTGTAGGGCAGAAGGGTGAGAGCCACTAGTGAATTTCAAATCTGTTTGTGTCTGTATTCACCCATACTTCCTACCGGCTGTATTTGAGAATGGGGATAAACCACCACCATCAACTCCAAAACCCAGTAAGGGAGGAATCTCCTGGAGTCTACAATACACAGGATTCAGCTACCTCTAAGAAAAAAATTAATGACTTATACCAGATTTTCATTAGAATTCCAGTTCCTTTGGTGACCATAATTTGCATCCTGAATACACTGTTCTAAGGTTCTTCCAGCGTTCCACCATTGAGATGGTTCCACCATCAGCTTACTCTGTTTCAGCCACTGTTCTGAACCAACATAATCTCAGTGCTCATTCCAGTCACAAAAATCCTTTCCTGTCTTTATTGCAGCATCCATCAGTCCAGCTTATCATGCTGCCTGATTTTCCACAGAGTGAAGTTCTAAGAGCAGAGAGGTTCTTTGCTTAGAATATTTGCAGTGACTCATCCTATTTTTTCCCCTTCCTCACAATTCACTCATCTCTGGTTAATGGGTACTTTTTCTCCCCTCTCATTGGAGGGCTGATTTTTCCTTAGAGTAAAAGTCTTCAGCCACTTTCTTCACAGAAATATAGGTGGTATCTCATTTAATTTCTTTTCCCCAAAATATCTTCTTGAGACATGAGCTCTTTCTGTTTTAAAAGACCTCTCTTTTCTTGGGGAATACCAGAGCCTCTGATCTGTATTAATTTGCTAATATGATGGTCCTTCCCACAGGAAACAGGTGCTTCCTGTAGTCCATCCCCTCCGGCAGATGCCCAGCTGGGAGAAGTAGAGAACTTGGAGGATTTTGCACTACATCCTGCACCTCGTGGTGTTACAGTCAAGTGTCGAATCACTAGAGACAAGAAGGGAATGGACCGGGGCCTCTTCCCTACTTATTACATGCATCTGGAAAGGGATGACAACAGAAAGGTATTGGAAGCAGCATAATATCTTGGCTATTGTACTCATACCACAGAATACCTTTTGTGTAAGGGAGAGCTTCTGGTAAGAAACCAGAAGCTGAGGAGAGCCAGCATGCAGATGAGGACAGCTCCTAAGAGGCCAAGGCACTACGGAGGGAAACGGCAGGTTTGAAAGCCAGAATACAATGAAAGATAAAATTTTAAGAAGTGTAAAAATGTCAAGGATAAAGAAGAGCAGGGAGACTGAGCTGCTCGCAGAGGAGGAGAGAAGATTAGAAAGGACAGCTGCACTAAATCTACACTGCTGAGTGAGCTGATTGGAGGGGTAGGATTTCAGGGTGTGCACTTGTGGAAGATATCAGAATTGTGCAGACAGTAATATCGGCACAGAACAGAACAAAAGGGGGAATTGATGTGGAAAATGGAGAGATAACAGTTTGGATAGCAATGCTTCTGCATTCTTAAAAAGCTCCAGTCTTGATCGAAGTTTTGTATTTCCAGACATTCCTTCTTGCAGGGCGAAAACGAAAAAAGAGCAAAACATCCAATTACCTTATATCAGTTGACCCAACTGATTTATCCCGGGAAGGGGAAAGCTTCATTGGAAAACTCAGGTAAGAACCACAGGTGAAAACTACAGACAAGAGAGGTTGGATTTTCATTTTAGTTGAGTTGGGAATATGAATAACAATCTGGTGTCAATTCAGAGAGAATGAACTTGCATCATCCTTCTTAATGTAATCTGCATTCACCTGAATTGTCAACCTCTCTTCAGTGTTACCACTCACCATGGAAATTCACATAAGGAATTCTGGCTTGATATTTTTCCAGGATAGGTTCAGGCTCAGTTCACCATGGGTACTCCTTACCGAGCTGGCAAAAAGATTCAGATAGCAGGAGACGAGTGTTTTCACTGTGCTGTACAAATACCTTCAGAAGATAACAAAACTTTCTGCTGATGCCTCTCTCTTTCTCTGTCTTTCCATAACCTGACATTAGGTCAAACCTCATGGGAACAAAATTTACAGTCTATGACCATGGAGTTAGCCCCGTCAAGGCACAAGGTCTAGTGGAAAAGGCTCATACAAGACAGGAGCTTGCAGCTATTTGTTATGTAAGTAATGCCTCTCCTCTTTTGCCCCTTTCTTCTTTGTTGCCTGGTTACAGGGGAAACAGGGCTTACAAAATCGTGCTGCCTGGCAGCCTTCCCCACTTAACTTTGGAACCAACTGACCAATTTCAACCAGATACAACAAAGGACAGAGGCTTCAAAGATAAGTTCTTAACGAGCTTGATGAAAAAAATACAAACAAAAAAACCCAATAAACAAACCCAAACCAAAACAGTGCCAGGGGAGGGAGGGAGATGAAAACTAACATCCTGATAACCTTCTTGTCTGACCTGTGGCATGTGACCAGCCAGCACATTCTTCTCGTGGAGCCAGCCACAGCATGAAGTGCCTCTTGCCCAACTGGTATTCAGTGGACAGTAAGAAGGAACTGGAAGTACCCCGTGAAGTAGAGTTGGGTTTGGATTTTTTTTGTGTGTGTGTGTTTTGGTTTTTATTGGTGGTGGTGGTTTTTTGGTTTTTTTTTTTTTTTGCAGAACCAAAGGCATTTTGGTGGCTGGGAAGGAGCTGGTATTATTTCAGTAGCAGCTTGTGGTTAGTGAGGATATGGTTGCAGGGGAAATCATGATTTGATAGCGCTCTGTCCTAGAGATGCTTTCTTCTGGTTTTGAGGATCATCTTGGTCTAGGCTTCAGAGCACACTTGTGGATACTCTGGAATTATGTGGATTCTCATCATAAAATCACAGAATGGTTTTGGGTTGGAAGGATCATACAATTCCAACCCCCCTGCCATGGGCAAGGAATGTCTTCCACTAGACCAGGTTGCTCCAAGCCCTGTCCAACCTGGCCTTGAACAGTGTCACGTTGTTTGTTTCATATTCCAGTCCTAAAGTTTGAATAAAATTTGAGGTTCTTTACAAAACGATGGTCAGTGAAGTGGAAGGATTTTTACTTTTATCACAGGTGTGACACAGAAATGTAAAGATGCATCAACCTACTGGAGCATGATCTTGATACTTTTTTTTTCCCCCTGTTGATCTTAATGGCACTTGGGGAAAAAAATCGCTGCCTGTTAGCAGTATCATTTATCATAACAATATCACGTCAGATTATTTCCTTTTGTATACAATATTCTTCAGTTCCCTACCTACTTGTACACAGCAAGGTGTTAAAATGAGTAGAGCAGATAATATAAAGTTGTTTTTTCATATCTCTGAGCTTTTCTATACAAGAAGTTCATAAAGCTTATATATGAATAAAATCAGTACTCTCATTCTCATATGTGCCCCTAGATTTTCTGAAGTGAAAGAGTAGAGGTTGCAACTCCAAAGACCTTTGTTCTGTGTCTGCAAAATGTACTAGCATGTTAGGAGGAGCAGTATTATTTCTGTTAATCAGTTCAGTGCTTCCAAAAGATTTTGACTTTTTAATTGCCCTTTAGGAATTTCGAAAGTTATCACTGATGTTGTTACAGAACACTTTAAATGGACCCTTGAATTTTGGTTGATATTATTGAATGGTTTGGGAATGCCAAGACTTTTTTTTCCTTTGCTTTTTATATTCAGTCCACTTGGAGCAGTCTCCTGCAGTACTCTGGAAAAATCTGTTTAAGATTGAAGCTTGGACAGGTGCTGAATTTGTTGCCTTTTGAGTCTGTTGTTAATAATTTATAAAAAAGCATGATTTGAGAGAAAATTATAGGTATGCTCTTAAACACAAATAACAACACCTAAAGAAGAATGTAATTCACCTTTTCAGGAACATTTTAGCCTAAATGGTGATGTACAGGTAACATAGTCTCAGGTCAAAGATATTTGTCTCTTGTCATACTTAAGGCTTCTTCACAAGCAAGATTTTAACCTGTTTTTGCCTCAGATGCAGGATCTTATGCTTGGAAATTCCACTTCTCTGATTTTGTTTTAAATGTTCTGTTAGGATAACTGATGCATTCTAAATTAGGTATGTTATGTGTCTTAATACAGTTCTCAAAATGGGACAGAAAGCTGCTCTCAGTGATTAAAACACAGTTGCGTTTAGGCAACTGCTACTACAGTTGTAGCTAGCAGATCTCCAAGAAACAATATAAATGTGGATTCAAGTTTGGTTTTCTTGTCTTTCCTTCTTTGAGATGAAGTATCTCATTTACTGAAAATGCCTTTCCCTGTCCTTCAGGAAACCAATGTGTTAGGATTCAAGGGTCCCAGAAAAATGTCTGTGATCATTCCAGGAATGAATATGAATCATAAGCGAATTCCAATACGTCCACGAAATGTGAGTTACGGAGTTTGGTCATGGTTCAGACTGGAGGTTATTTAGGTTTTATTTAGGTTATCCTCAAAAATCCAGTATTTTATCTGTATGTAATACTAAAACAACATTTACTATACCCATATCAGTCGGATCTCCATAACAGGATGTTTTCTGGTCATTTTTTCGCATTAAATAACTTCAGTTTGGATTATTTTTCATGGGAGTTTTAGTATATATTGTTGGAATTTATTTGTTGTGGAACTTCTAAAATTAAATAACATGTATTTCACTACAGCTCCTTGTAATTCATTGTTTGTTGAATGTATTGTGCTGTTTTACCTTCTTTTTGTATCTTTCTGTTTTTATTTCTTTGTTTTTCATATTGCGCATCACTTGCTAGACCCATTTAATCTACTTAAGGCATACATACAGCCTGCTGCAGCCTTTGGACTTTCCACTGAAGCACCCCAGGGCCTGGCACTATGCAGTTAATTGTAGATTATTTTCTTTTGTTTCAATTCAGATTATTAGAAATGGAAGTTGGGTCCAACACAAGTCTCACAAGCTTTCTCTTGTGAGACTCAGAAAGGATTCCTGCCAGCAGGATGGCAATCATCCTTTAGCCTGTGAATTGCTCCCTTTCATGTATACACTTCCTTCTCTCTTGCTCTTTTTTCTTGTTTGGGTGGAAATATGGTGATAGCTTATTGAGTGGAAAGAAGTGCTTGGACAGGGAATCCATTAAAGTATCTTTCTGGTAATTGCAAGAAGTTTTCAGTAGGACTGAGTTTAAGTGTTGTCATTGTGTTTCATTAAACATGGAAAAACCTTGAAGTGACAGAGTACACGCACATGAGAGAGGCAGTAGTCAAAAGCAGAGCTGTTCCAAACCTGATGTGTATTTCTTTCTTCTGAACAGGAACATGAGAGTCTGCTCTCAAAATGGCAAAACAAAAATTTGGAGAACCTCATTGAATTGCACAACAAGGCTCCAGTTTGGAATGATGATACTCAATCCTACGTTTTGAACTTCCATGGGAGAGTCACTCAGGCCTCAGTGAAGAACTTCCAGATTGTCCATGACAATGACCGTAAGAGTCTGGTGGAGAGTGTGTGTGGCTTATTCGAACAGGGAGAACCCTATTTATTTCATGAGGTTTGGGAAGAATAGGATACTATTCCTGGAAAAGGGAGACTGGGTGGAGGAAATCAGCTCAGGATTACTGGGGGCTTCTCAGCTGTCAAGAAAATTACATAAGACCTCCCTCTTTCTGGGGTGGGTGCAGACACTACTGTCCGTAGCTGCAGCAAAAGAGAGGGTAAATGCAAGCTTCCTGAAGGGAAAGAAGAGGACTATACAGCATCTTCAGGCTAGCAAGAGAGAGTGGTTCAAGCTTTGGTTCTGAGAAGAAAGATAATCTCTAGAATAACAGTCAATCTAGAGAACAGATTTCAAGGCCACTCTGGTAAAAAGGGATGGATACACCAACTACATACGTTTGGGACTGCCAGACATTTGTGGGGTTTTGGTTATGGTTGTGGTTTGTTTTGGTTTCTCTTTGCTATCCTATGAAATGCTTGTTTCTGAATTTATTTTTTTCCCCCTCCCCAGCTGACTACATTGTGATGCAGTTTGGTCGTGTAGCAGAAGATGTATTCACTCTGGACTATAATTATCCTCTCTGTGCTCTTCAGGCCTTTGCTATTGGACTCTCCAGTTTTGATAGTAAATTGGCCTGTGAATGAGAGACAACAGGCTTGAAACTCACTCCCATCCCTGCATCTTGTTGAAAGAGTTCCAGGTGGAGTAATGAAAAACACATTGGGGATGGAAGGGAACTGGAGGAGAGACTTCTGCAGGTTTATTAGAAAGCAAATACCAGGCCTCAGAGCATTACAGGAGTTGACATCTTAGGAGACTGTCCCAAGACTGGGCAGTCTCTGCATGCATTGTGGAAGAACAAGAAATAATGGTGATGTGTTGATTCTGCTTTCAGAATCCTTGTAAAAGATGCTGCATGAGAGTAGGCTAAGGAATTCAGCCCACTAACTGGAACCTCTTGCAGCTAGGATTAGAAAAATGATGGTTTAGTGTTCATATACCTTCAACTTCCACAGTGCCTCTGGAAATGATGCTACAGATCTGATCAGGAATTGAAGAGTTTCTGCTCAGCTGAATTCACAAACAAGGAGGACAATTACTGGCCTTGTGTATCATTTCACTGTCTGTTACAATAGTCAGACACAGAAGGACTCAGGTTATGGCTTTGTGCAACTGTAGGTAATGTTCAACAAATACAGAGCTGGAATGAGACATTGGCTCTAATAAAACACTTTCCTCTTACTCTGTGGGATGATTCGCTGTTAAGGTTGATAGTTCAGTTCCCTTTCAGTACTCTAATTGCTCCGTATCCCTTTAGTCTTTTTACCAAATAAAGAACAATCAAATCTGAAACGCTTACTTTTTAGTTGGTGATATATCCATTACTGTCTCTGTTATTTTTAACCATGTGAAAAATGAGATTGAACAGATCATAGAATCTGATGGAATTTGGCAGAAGGTAGTATTGTAACAGTACATACAATAGTATGGTACTGTAACCATACTATTGTAACTGCACAGTATACAGTCCTATTCCTGAAAAGCAGTGTTCTGATTGATTTAATCTACGCTGTATGCTGATCAGAATTATTTTTTAATGTGTCCATTGCTTGTAAAGCTTGCTACATTTTTAGGAATAAGCAACTGATTTTATTTTACCTTTTAATCTCAAGTCATGACGTATTAAAGTAGATTTTATATAAATATTTTTAACCTAAATATAAGAAGGAGTTACCTCAAAAGAAGATTACAGGTGTTTTCAAAGGCATCAGTAAGATTTAAAAAAGTAATTAATGTATCACATGGCTTTGCAATGTGTCCTTCCAGTGTTCCATTTTTAATGCTGGATATACAGTGTGGGGACTGTAGGTCACAGCATGGAATGCTTCCTGATTCATATGGCCTTGATTCATCGAGTGAATTGCTGCACGCTGTGACATGTAAGCGTCATAGTGTGCACATGTGTACTAAAGCAGAGAACAGTTACTATCTTTCCTGGTTTGTGGCCACTATGCATATTCTTGATGATCCCGGAAAGCTTAATCCCTCTATCAAGACAAGAATAGGTGTTCTCAAGCTTTGGATATTCTTGATGATCCTGGAAAACTTAATCCCTCTATCAAGACAAGAATAGGTGTTCTCCAGCATTGGATATTGCTAGTGTCAGCAGACTAACTCTGTTTCAAGCTCCAAAAGCCAGATTTATTGCTTTTGGGCTCTGGAGTCTTTGCAGTGGTAGTTATCACTTGCTCTTCCAAAATAATGGAACTTTGTGAAGACATTTTCTGATATTGCGGGGGGGGGGGAACAAACCAACCAACTCTGGTGATCATGTGCAAACTCTGTATTTAACTGTAAATTATGAAGTGATGTTGAGAACTCCAGCTCATATCTCTCAGATGCCTGCATAGCTGGTGAGCCATTATCTTCAAATGATCTCATCAGCAGAGCTGTGCTGGAGAGAACTTGACTCCTGCATCTCTTTTGTGCCTTCACGTACTTCCTGCTCATCAGGCTGGACTTAAGACCCAACAGTGTTTTCCATTTGTGCTCTTCTGAGTTCTTGGCCAATAGCTTTGCATTCCCTGTACCCATCTAGAAAAACTAAGTCAGTTCTTTACCTGTCTGATTATTTTTTGACTAGATCTGTGTGAAAGAAACTGCCTTATGTTAATTTGGGGTGACTTGAAGGTAGAACACCGACTTTGGATTCAAGATGATTTCCTCTCTGCTCAGAAGGCTGTGGCAGCATCCCTTTACTCACCCTTTCAGTTAGGTTTGTCAGCAGTGGCTCTTCCACTATTTGTTGACATGAAATAATCCTAGCAGGGCCAGAGCCTCTGGGTTTCAGTCAGATTGTGCAGACAGATTAACTGATTCTGTGCTCTTTTATCAGATAATGTTCTACATTAATTGTATTTATAACTTTTATATCTAAATGAAAATAAACTAATTTATATATTGAAAAAAATCTTTAATTCTTAATGAGTTTTTGGTAGAATTTTGCTGTCACTTGTGGATGTTCTTTGTTCCTCCTGTACTAGATACTACATGAGTTTCTTCCTGTCATATCTCATCTCCCTTCTTTACACCTCCTTTTCCTTTGTAATTGGGAGTTCTCTTTGTGGTGTTTGGGGGTTTTTTTG